GCATCTCCTTTTCCGGGATTTTCCATAAATTTCCCAGGGATTTTCCCCAGGAATTATCCTCATGGTTTTCCTCCTAATTTTCCCGTGTTCTTCCCTGATTTTTCTCCTGTTTTTCCATGTTTTCCCCATGTTTTCCCTGTGGATTTTTCGCATGTTTTATCCCTGTTTTTCCATGGATTTTCCCCTGATTTTCCCTGTATTTTTCCATGGATTTCCCATGGATTTTCCCATTTTTCCATGGATTTCCCATGGATTTTCCATGGATTTCCTATAGATCTTCCCAGTTTCCCATGGATTTCCTATGGATTTTCCCATGGATTTCCCCTATTTCTCCCATTTTCCATATTTTTTTCCATGTCTTTTCCCTGTTTTTCCCATGTTTTTTCCCATGGTTTTTCCCATGTTTTTTCCCATGGTTTTTCCCATGGTTTTTCCCATGGTTTTCCCATTTTCCCCATGTTTTTTTCCCCTTTTTTTCTCTATTTTCCCCATTTTATCCTGGATTTCCCCTGGTTTTCCCATTATTCCCATGTTTCTTTCCCCTGTTTTCCCATTTTCCCCTGGATTTCCTGTTTTTCCCATTTTTCCATGTTTTTTTTCCTATTTTTCCCATTTTTCCATGTTTTTTCCCTGTTTTTCCCTGTTTTTTTCCCTATTTTCCCCATTTTATCCTGGATTTCCCCTGGTTTTCCCATTTTTCCCATGTTTCTTTCCCCTGTTTTCCCATTTTCCCCTGGATTTCCTGTTTTTCCCATTTTTCCATGTTTTTTTTCCTATTTTTCCCATTTTCCCCTGTTTTTTTTCCCATTTTTCCATGTTTTTTCCCTGTATTTCCCTGCTTTTTTTCCCATTTATCCCCGGATCTCCCCTGTTTCCCCATTTTTCCATGTTTTTTCCCTGTTTTTCCCTGTTTTTTTCCCATTTCTCCCCGGATCTCCCCTGTTTGTCCCATTTTTCCATGTTTTTTCCCTGTTTTTTCCTGGTTTTTTTCCCATTTCTCCCCGGATCTCCCCTGTTTTTCCCATTTTCCCATGTTTTTTCCCTGTTTTTCCCTGTTTTTTTTCCCATTTCTCCCCGGATCTCCCCTGTTTTTCCCATTTTTCCATGTTTTTTTTCCTATTTTTCCCATTTTTCCCTGTTTTTTTTCCCATTTTTCCATGTTTTTTCCCTGTTTTTCCCTGTTTTTTTTCCCATTTCTCCCCGGATCTCCCCTGTTTTACCCATTTTTCCATGTTTTTTCCCATTTTTCCCTGTTTTTTTTCCCATTTTCCATGTTTTTTCCCTGTTTTTCCCTGTTTTTTTTCCCATTTCTCCCCGGATCTCCCCTGTTTCCCCATTTTCCCATATTTTTTCCCCGTTTTTCCCTGTTTTTTTTCCCATTTCTCCCCGGATCTCCCCTGTTTTTCCCATTTTTCCATGTTTTTTTCCCATTTTTCCCTGTTTTTCCAGGTGCAGGCCGTGCGGGCCGTGGTTCCCAACCGCAGCAACACCGAGATCGTGCTGGTGCTGCAGCACTTCGACAACGCCGTGGACAGAGCCGTGCAGGCCTTCATGGAGGGTGGGAATTCCCAAAAAATCCCGGAATTCCGGGAATTCCCGGAATGCTGAGAGGGAATTCCGGAGTTTGGGGGGCTGGGGAGGGAATTTGGGGGGGTTTAAGGGGGTTTTGGGGGGGTTCAGGGGGGATTTGAGGGGAAATTTTGGGGATAAACCTGTGCACGCCTTCATGGAGGGTGGGAATTCCCAAAAATCCGGGAATTCCGAGAAGGAAATCTGGGAATTCTGGGCTTTGGGATAGAAAATTCTGGGATTTGAGGGGCTGGAGAGGGAATTTGGGGAGGTTTGGGGGGATTTAGGGAGATTTGAGAGGGAATTTTGGAGGGGATTTTGAGATAAACTCTGCAGGCCTTCATGGAGGGTGGGAATTCCCAAAAAATCCAGGAATTCCGGGAATTCTGGGAATGCTGAGAGGGAAATCCAGGCGCTGAGGGGCTGGAGAGGGAATTTGGGGGAGTCTGGGGGGGATTTGGGAGGGAATTTTGGAGGGGATTCTGGGATGAAACTGTGCAGGGTTTCGTGGAGGGTGGGAATTCCTTGAAAATTTGGGAATTCCTGGAAAATCTGGGAATTTTTGGAATTCTGAGAGGGAATTCCAGGGTTTGGGCATGAAATTCAGAGGTTTGGGGAGCTGGGGAGGGAATCTGGGGGAGGAATTTTTGGGATTCAAGAGAATTTGGGGTGGAATTTTTGGAATTCTCCTTTTTTTCCTCCCCCTCATTCCCAATTTTTTCGTTTTTTTTCAGGGAATGCCAGCGAAGTGCTCAAGGAATGGACGGTGACTGGGAAAAAAAAGGTAATTCCCAAAAATCCCAAAAAACCTCCAAATAATTCCCCAATAATTCCCCAGAAAAATCCCCAAAAATTACCCAAAAAAATCCCCCCAAAAATCCTCCAAAAAATTCCCCCAAAATCCCTCGAAAAATCCCCTGAAAAATTCCCAAAAAATCCCCCAAAAAATCTGCCAAAAAAAAACCCCAAAATATCTCCCAAAAATCCTCCAAAAATTCCCAAAAAACCCCTAAAAATTTCCACAAAAAAATTTAAAAAATCCCCAAAAAAATCCCCCCAAAATTCCCCTAAAATCCGAAAAAAATCCCCCTAGAAATCCCCCATTTTTCCCATTATTCTCCCATTTTTTCCCATTTTTTTCCCTTTTATTCCCATTTTTTCCCGATTTTCCAATTTTTCACCCATTTTTCCCATTTTCCCCTTTTTTCCCCCCAGAACAAGAAGAAGAAACCCAAAGCCAAGGCCCCGCCCGGCCCCGGGCAGGAGGAAAAATTGGAAAACCTGGAAAAAAACCTGGAAAAAAACCTGGGAAAATTGGGAATTTCCATCAACGGTTTCCATAGCAACCGCTGCCCCTCCCTGGAGTCGCTGCCAGGTCCTGGAAATTCGGGAATTTTGGGGATAATTTGGGAATTTTAGGGGTAATTTGGGGATTCTGGGGGAAATTTGGGATTTTGAGGGAAAAATTGGGAATATTAGGGGGAATTTTGGGGATTTCAGGGTAAATTTGGGAATTTTGGAGGAAAAAATTCAGGATTTGTGGGGATTTTGGTTAAAATTTGGAATTTTGGAATGAAATTCGGGAATTTGGGGGTTTTGGGGGGAAATCAGGAAATTTTGGGGAAATTCGGGGGAAATTCGGGGGAAATCTGGGATTTGGGGGTGAATTTGTGGATTTTGGGAGGAAATTTGGAGATTTTTGGGGGAATTTGGGGATTTTGGGGGAAGTTCAGGAATTTCGGGGAAATTTCAGAATCTGGGGAGGAATTTGGGAATTCTGGGGGGAATTTGGGAATTCTGGGGGGAATTCGGGAATTTTGGGGTAAAATTGTGTATTTTGGGGGAAGTTTGGGAATTTTTGGGGAAATGTTGGGATTCTGGATGAAATGCAGGATTTGGGGGTGAAATTTTCTGGGAATTTTGGCTTTTCCCAGGCCTCGGGAACGGAATTTCGGCTTTTCCTGCCCCAGCCCAGCCCCCAACCCCAGCCCGGAGTGACCCTGGCGGCAGGAAAATGGGTGAGAAAATGGGAAAAACGGAAAAAAGGGGAAAAAAGGTAAAAAAAAAGGTAAAAAATGAGAATAAATGGGGAGAAAATGGGAATAAATGGGGGGAAAATGTGGGGAAATGAGAAAAAAATTGGAATAAAAAGGGGGAAAATGGGGAGAATCAGGGGGAAATTATTCCTATTTTTCCCCTTTTTTCCATTTTTTCCTATTTATTCCCATTTTCCCCATGTTTATTCCCATTTATCCCCATTTATTCCATGTTTTCCCACATTTTTCCCTGTTTATTCCTGTTTTTCCTCATTCATTCCCATTCATTCCCTGTTTATTCCAATTTATTCCCATTGATTCCCATTTATTCCATGCTTTTCCCCATTTATTACCATTTATTCTCATTTTTTCACATTTATTCCATGTTTTTCCATGTTTTTCCCATTCATTCCCAGTTTTTATTCCCATTTTTCCCAGGCTGCAGCCTGGAGCGCTTGCTGAAGGCTCATTCCAGTTCATTCCCATTTATTCCCATTTTTCCATGATTTCCTGTCTCTTTTTCTCATTTTTCCAATTTTTCCATTATTTTTTCCCATTTTCCCAGTTCTTATTCCCATTTTTCCATGTTTTTATCCCAATTTTCCC